TAAAGAAAGTAGCTGCAGTAATGTTAAAACCTATGCCCACTAATGTTAAAGAAATACAGTCATTCCTTGGTTTTGCTAGTTATTATAGACAACACATTAAAGATTTTGCCAAAGTAACAGGTTGTCTATATAAATTAAGTAGCCCAAACACTGCTTTTGAGATGACAGTAGATAGAGTAGCTGCATTTAATAAATTACGTGAATTACTTACTTCTGCTCCTATATTATTTATGCCTAATCCTAATAAGCCTTATAAATTATATGTAGATGCTAGTATGGAAGGATTAGGAGCTGCCTTACACCAAATTCAAGATCAAGAAATACCAAAAGAAGGAGTCATTTGTTATATTTCTAGAACATTGAAAGACAGTGAGAAAAAATATGGGGCCAGCCAACTTGAATGTTTATGTTTAGTCTGGGCCCTAGATAAATTATATTATTACCTTGATGGATGTGAATTTGAAGTCATTACTGATTGTACGGCCCTCAAAAGTTTATTAAGTATGAAAACTCCAAATAGACACATGCTCAGATGGCAAATAGCTATTCAAGAATGGAGAGGAAGTATGACTATCAAACATAGAGAAGGTAATATACATAAAAATGCTGATGGACTTAGTAGATGGTCTTTGGAAAATATACCAGACAACCCAGCATGGGACGGAGAAATTGCTGTAAAAATTATGTGTTTATTCCCAGAGGAAAATAATGAAAATAATCCTGCCTTTGATGATAACAATGATGATATTAATATTTGTGGGTTACACGTGACTGAAATGCAAGAAGACTTTTGGGATGAAATTAGAATTAGTTATGACCAAAATAAAAATTGCTCCACAATAAAGAATATATTACAAAGTAATTTCAAAAATAATGATCTGATCAATTCCTTAGAAGAACCATGGCTTAGCTCATTCAAAGAAAATAGATTCTCTCTATTAGATGGATTAATTTACCACAGAATCAAACATACAAGTGTAGTAGTTATTTGTTTAAAAGACACATTAGTTATTTTTGGAAAGATGTCACGACAATATATCCTCAGCTCATTTTCCTTTGACAGAACATGAGAGAGTAAACAATGCTAGGTGGCTAATTTAGAATGATACTAAAGATTATTGTGAATCTTGTGACAGATGCCAAAAAGCAAATAAAGCTACAGGAAAAAGGTATGGATTATTGCAAGAAATTGAAGAACCCAAAGAAAGATGGTCTGTTATTAACATGGATTTTGTTACTGGCTTACCACCCGGAGGACCTAATAATTTCAATGCAATTTTAGTAGTAGTTGATAGATTTTCCAAAAGAGCAAGATTTCTACCATGTCATAAAGAAGATACAGCAATGGATACTGCCTTATTATTTTGGAATTCTATTATTTATGATGTTGGATGTCCCAGATATATCATTACAGACAGAGACCCTAAATTCACGTCAGAATTTTGGAGAAATTTATATGATTTATGCGGGACACAACTGAAATTTTCTACAGCTTACCACCCCCAAACAGATGGACTAGCTGAAAGAATGATTCAAACTTTGGAAGACATGATCAGAAGATATTGTGCCTATGGAATGACATTTAAGGATAAAGACAACTATACTCATGATTGGTGTTCATTATTACCTGCACTTGAATATGCTTACAATTCTAGCAAACACAGTACAACAAATAAAACACCTTATGAATTGGAAAGAGGTTGGACTCCTTGGTTTCCCAAAGAAATTTTAATGTCAAAAGCAGTACATATACACCCAAGTGCCTCTGATTTTCATTTTATGATGACCAAAGCTGAAAAATATGCAGCAGAATGCGTGAAATTAGCTGTAGATTACAACAAAACTAGATGGGATAAAACTCACAAAGCTCACCAGTTTAAAGTTGGAGACCAAGTCTTGATATCTACATTTAATTTTACAAATCTGACTGGACCTAAAAAATTAAGAGATTCCTTTGTAGGACCTTTTACAATCAAACAATTACACGGTGCAAATGCTGTTGAAGTTATACTCACTGGAGAATTAGAAAGAAAACACCCTACATTTCCAGTCAGTCTAATTAAACCATACAAAACTAGTGATAATGATAAATTTCCTTTAAGAAAAGATAACATCAGAGTTGTAATACCTCCTTTAGAGAAAGAAGAAATTAAAATTAAGAAGATATTACAACATAGAAAAATCAGAAAAAACAATGTGGACATGAAACAGTATTTAGTAAGATACAGTGGTACCAAAGAAGATGAATGGCTTACAGTTGATAAAATACCTGATGCTGATAAAATTCTCAGACAATACAGAGCTGATAAAAGAAAATAACCATTCATTTATTTCTTGGGATCAGCCTTTTTTTA